CCCACTCCTAGCTTAATCTACATGCTAACTACGATATTTCTTAAGACATTTATTGCAACTTCCTCCGGTGCGTCAATCGCTTCTTCCGGCGAGCTTCTAGCGAACTTCCGGCGAACATCCGACGAACCCTTGGCGATGCTCCGACGGACTTCCGGCAAATCTCCTGGGCTTGCGATGATCCACTTAGCGAGTTCCGACGAGCTTCTTTGGCAAACTCTTGGACTTCTTGGATTTGTTCCCGCAGAACCTCCGACGACCGTCCGGACTTCCGTCGAACTCTCGAACCCCCAACGTGATCACGGTCTTGACTCTAGCACAACTCCTGCTGCTTGTCTTACTGCCATCGTAGTTAATCCTACACATGTAAAATAAACTTCGATCTAGACAATTAATACTAAGCATTAATCAAGTTGTCCGGCATGTCATTAGTCCCTCGACGCTTCGTCCGATTCTTCGGCGCTTCATCCTCTCTTGTGGCCTATTGCCCAATCGGCTAGTTGACTCCATAACTTCGATATCCTTGGCGCAATACCTGTTCTTCTTGGCCCGATGCCTAAGTCCATGGCTCGAAGCCTTCTGTCGATACGTCGACCGATCCACCGGCCCGACGTCCAATCTTCTGACATGTTCCTCCGACCCAACATGATTTTCCTGCCTTAATTGTCTCATCCTGATCGAAGTATCCTTCGTTATTCAAAACGCAGATTAAATCATAAACATATATTAAGTGGTTTCATCATCAAAATACGAGATTCAATACCTTTATCTTACAATGAATTACTTGATGTTTTTCATGATTTATTTGATAAATTTAAATTAGTTAGTAAGAGATATAAAATACTAAAAAGGATCATATTTTTCTTTCTAGTAAATTAAAAAAATTAAAAAATGAGCATGATAATTACTTATTAACCTCTTGTACTCAATGTGAAAAATTAAATTCATACAAAAAAGAAAATTTGTTATTATAATAAATATTAAAAAATTTAAAATTGGTGGCAAATCATTAGACATAATTCTTGCTAACAAAGGTTATATATATAGAAAAGTAGGAATCAATTTTGTGAGTAGCAATACTCAACAAAAATTGACTTTATTTGTTAAAGGACAATATTACATGCTTCTCCTAACGTTAAATATAATTTTTATAGTAGATATAGTCATTTTGCTTATAAATGTTCATTCAAAAAATATGGCTTGCATAAATTAGTTTAGGTTCCTAAAAGAATCATAAATGATTTGATGTCAAAAAATAAGATAGGTGGATCTAACCATGAGGGACCCAAAGTCAAATAGGTACATAAAGCAAACTCATCTTTCTTGTAGAAATGACTACAATTGAAAGCTAGGAGCAAAATGATATCATGATAAATGATATCTTGATAATATATGCTCAAGCATATAATCGGAGATCTAACATACTTTATGAAGCTCACTAGCTGAAATAACAATAACATTGACATTGGAATTATTTAATTAAATATATTTTTTAATATGTAATACTATTAATCTTTGTCATGACGAAACTTATTTTTCGATTTTAATTAATGATTCATGAATTTAGCATAAAAGACAAGGGCATACTTATATGAAATTAGTCATATAAATTGAAACAAAAAAGGTAATGCATTTTTGTTAAAAATTTCTCTATCTCTAAAGTCTATCGAGTTTTTCAATAAGAGATTAATAAATCTATTAATGTTATTTTTTTTAAATCTCTTGAACTATGAAAGTGATTTTGATGATTTGAATTTGAATGAGTTTTATCCAAATCATGATATTGAATTCTCGAAATTATAACTTGATATTTATTTTATATGAATCAAGATATTTTATTGTCCCATGTTTCTTTTTGCTATTTAATAAAGAGAATATTTTTTATTTCTTAGAATTCATGAATTAAGATTCCCTTTGTAGATAATTTATTATTCAATCTCCTAAGATTTCTTGTCATTATTTATTAAAGAGGAGATCAAAATGAATCATGTCTTTTGGTATTCACGTCTTGATCTTTCGATATTCATAAATTTGTTTTATGACTCTCTTGCATTCATGAATTGAATATCCCATCACCAAATTGATTTTTTATGATATCTTTTATGTGATGATTGGAATATTGATGTAAAAGATTTTGTACTATTGTATCATTCCCTTTCTTTTGACAATGATAAAGGGGAAGAAAGTATTACTAGTTTGCACATTTCAAAGAGAGGCAAAACTTACTAGCTTGTGTATCTCAAAAGAGAAGTAAAGATTATTAACTTGTACATTTCAAAAAGAGAAAGACTTGCTAGCTTACACATATCAAAAGAGAAGCAAATTTGCTAATTTGCGAAGAAGCAAAAAAAATGCTATCTTGCATATCTCAAGAAAAGCAAGATTGTTGGCTTGCTCATCTGAAGAAGCAAAAAGTGTTATCTTGCACATCTCAAGAGAAGCAAAATTTTTGCTAACTTTCATATATAAAAAACTTGCTAGCTTGTATATTCTAAAATGATATAAAACTTGCTAGTTACACTTTTCTCCTTTTTGTTGATGACAAAGGAGGAGAAGTTATGATCATGATTTAAAATTTGAATAATGCATGATATGCCTAAAGTATTGATGATTTTATATCTTGAAATTATGCATGATGATTTGGAATTATGCATGCAATACTTCAACTTATGATAATGTATGCAATGATATACATATGATGCAAGTACATATTACTTTGATATAATACATTGCATATGATCACTATAATTCATGATTAAAAATGTTTCAACTTAAATTTAATTTTATGACTAGAAGGTTATTATTTTTAAATTCAAGGTTCATTTTGATATGATATATTGATAGGGGGAGTTTAGCTTAAACTTCGTCATCAATTGTTGTTATCATCAAAAAGTGAGAGATTGTTGAATCTTGAATTTTGATGATGAAATCAATTGATGAAGTTATAATCTAATTAGCATTTGAGTGACGCAGGACTGACTTCGATCATAAAAAGATAAATCAATTGAAGCAGGAAGAATCATACATTGGACCAAAGTGGATCATGTTAGAAGATTGGACGTCGGGCTAGAGGACTAGTCGACGTGCTGGAAGGATTTCATACCATAAGTTCAAGTATCAAGCCAAAGGATCAGACATTGTGCCAAGGAGATCGGAAGTTGCAAAAGTTCGACATGCCAATTGGGTAATATGTCGAAGGATTAGACGAAGCACCGAATGAACCAATAACATACTAGACAACATAGAATTCATGTTTGTAATCGATCGTGTCTTAATCAAAGTAGATTAGGTCATAATTGAGTTAGTTTTAAGTGTAACCATGCTAACTTGATTAGGGGTCAGTTGGGCCTAAATCAGGGTTGGATTAGACCTATTGAAAGCCCAATTTAATATTCTAAAGTTGGCCCAAGCAATGGTACTACTAGGTCAGGCAATGGAACTGCTTGTTAGATAGTATACGTCTCCAGAAAACTCGAGCGGTGGTACCATCTATGTCAGGTGGTGGGAACACCCAAATTGGGCAGTGGTACTGTCGGTTGTTAGCTTGACAGGCGTTGGTACCGTCAGTTCCCCGGAAACTCGGGATGAGATTTTTTTTTAGCTCTATTTTTAAAATTATTTAGGGTCTATAAATACCTCACTCTTTTCTGGTTGGGGAAGCAAGAAATAAAGTAGAAAGGGGTTATGATTTTGAGTTGAAAAGTTATAAAAATACTAAGTGTCCTCCTTCTCCTCCTTAAGTTTTGTGATTATTCTGAGAGAGGTATGAGACTTGTAAAGGTTGTCTCCTAAATTCATAAAAAGAAAAAAGAGTTGTAAGAGGGTAGTTGGTCTATGCCCATTAAAAGATGATCGTTAATGAATGTCGGTAGCCTCAACGGAAGAGGAATAGGGAGTGGACGTAGGTTACAATGATTGAACTACTATAAACTCAATTTGTACTATCTTCTTGCTTTTTATTATCATTACTTATTGATTTAATTGTCTACTACTCTTACTTTCTCTCTAAGCTTAAACGTTTTTCGATACGGGTTTTATCAAATAAAAATTTCAAATCGTAATTTTTTCGAAAGTACTAATTCACCCCTTTCTTAGTACCAAAATGGTCCTAACACCTACTCTTTCACATATGAGCTATAGGCAACACCGAAATCACCCACCGCACCCTCCATTTGGCACCTATGCCTTTACGCTAGGGCCACAACAAGGGCTAATAGGCTGGTAATGGTCCACAGATCGAGCAGCCAAGCATGGCTAGGGTTGGGGTGCGATAAAATTTTTTCAAAGTTATAAGGGAAAATTGATTTTTTCATGTAACTACAGGACGTTCTATGAGAATGTTTAAAATATAGGATGCACTACGAGAAAAACCTAAGGTTAGAGGTTTTTTTTAGGAGTTCATCATGGTAATTTTATAAATTTTGTATAAAATCATTATGTTATAATATTTTCTTAGTATTACCGAAAACAACTTAGCATATTATAAAAATTTGTTACTAGACTGATCCTATAAACCAGTTCACAGGAAAGGGGAAAAGAAATTGAATAGGTAAGTGGCTATCAAATCAGGAATATTCTTAGATTAAAAAGTATAAAATTCTAAAAATAAGAGGTAATTTCCGAAAAAACCCAAACAGAGTTTTTTTTCGGGCAAATTGTCCGAGTTAAACTCCCAATTTAAATGGGACTCGGGAATATAAAACGACACGCCCTCGCCACACCAGGGCTGTGGGGCCCGCTCACGACATGTGATGTCAACAAATGGGTGTTCTCCTTCTTTTATATTAGAAGTAATTAGTATCCAAGTCGAAGTACAAATCATATTTTATATGAGGAAAATGAGTCCCGATACTAAGTGTTTTACCAATCACCAATCACACCGAGAAGTTGTGGGGCTTTCCTGAACTCTGTCAAATCATCGGACAGGTAGATCGATGGAGGAAGTAGCTAGACAAAGGCGTCGCCAAGCACTTCGTCTCCTATTTATACATGTTTGTCTCTCCCCCTCGTCGTTCTTCTTCTCCCTTCTCTCACGAGTCCCGCCCGCGCCCTTGTCGCCCAATTCCTTCGTCGATACGATCACCCGATCGTCTATTAACGCTGCGGAATGGACCGTGGATTGACCGCCAGCGAAGAGGACTTGGTGGAATACGTCTTCCACGACATCAAGGCCCGGCGAGCCGGCATCCTCAAGGCCCTCACCGCCGGTAATTCCACCTTCTTCGCCCTTATCTTCTCTCGCGGTGATGCGATCTTTACTGACTTTTGGTTCTTTTCCTGTCTCTTTCCGCTGCAGATTTTGAGGATTTCCACCAACAATGCGATCCTGGTAAGTGATTACACTGCCTCCTGCAAGTCGAGTTCTTTTACATTGCTTCGTTATAATAGAAAGTTCGAATTTTTGAAGCTCTTGCTGTTCCCTATATTTAGGCCCTTGGAGATTCTTCTATATCATCTGAACGCTGCAGGGCATTTCACTTGCTCTTGTATTCCAGTCTTATGACGTTGGTAACGCTGTTACATGTGCAGTCGATGGTAGTGGCGTTATGAAATCATTAGTTAGTAGCAATGTCGAAGGGGTTAATTGCGGGTGCAACTTAAGGGGTGATTTTTACTCAATATTCGTTGGCCCAGTGTTTAGGGTTTGATTTTGTTCGTAGCACGAATTAGCAGCAACCAATTGATCGAAGGGTCTTTCATGGCAATTCTTGATAAAATGATAAGTGGTTGATGAAGTGTGACTGGACCATCTATTGGCCAAGTAAGCTATTAAATAATCTGCACCTGTAGGTTGGGTAGTACAAAATGATTGGCACTTTTTGATGATGAAGCAAGAATTCTATGGGTCCACATGGATTTTACCATGTACAACTTAGAGGTTGTCATCTTTGATGGTTGTGTAAGCAAGGTTGGCAATACCATCCAATACGATTCGGATGGTATTTACTGGTCTGACAACTTACCAATACATGGACTAGGGCAAAGTAGATGGTATGCCTGGTATAGGGCCTGTATATGGCAATTTCTTCTTTTTGTTTTTTCAACCCATTTGTGGCATTTTTTTTCAGGCTTTTTTTAAAACTCAGTTTGCACCAGCATATCGACATGGTATGGTAACAGTCCAAGCCCTGACCGGTACATGAAATTTGAGCCTTATCTATATGGTGTACAGAGGGCCTAACATATGTAGGGAAGTGGAATGCCCATAAAAAGAATGGGTGTTATAACTAAGGAGGCTTGTGTTTAAAATCAGATGGGTGGGAGAATGTGTGCATAATTGATGAGGGTATTTTTGTTAAACATCATAATATAACACCTATATTTCTAGGCTTTGATTTAGGAAGTGACTCCATCCACTTCACAGTACATTGTCTGTATGTAAACTTTGTACAGTTCTTCTGTCATAGCATTATTATAAATATATTGGATTTGTTGAGCATTTGAATGGAAGAAATTCCCAATATTGACCAAAAATTAGGTAAAAAATAGAGTGGCATGTTGAAGGAAAAATAATAGAGCAGCACATCGATGTTTAGCATAGCTATTATTGCTTCTAATCATCAGCATCACACCTTGTAGTTAACCTCAACTATCAACACATCATTTATATTTATACTTACTATTCCATTATTTTAATTCTAGTCAGGCAATTTGCTCTATGTCAATACCAACCAACAATGGTTGGAATATATCAACAATTAAGAACACAGTAAACGGTGCTTCAGTTTTCAGCCTAATAACTACATGCAACTATTTTATGTATGCCACGAGACTACATTAATTATTGTCATGTAAATATAAACTTCGGGATCCGTAACATGCCAATGATCCATTTGGTAGTTTATTGGGTTCTGTCAATCATAGACATGAAATCTTCTCTTCGTGATTTGTAACATGCCAATGATCCATTTGGTAGTTTATTGGGTTCTGTCAATCATAGACATGAAATCTTCTCTTCGTGATTTGTAACATGCCAATGATCCATTTGGTAGTTTATTGGGTTCTGTCAATCATAGACATGAAATCTTCACTTCTTCGAGTGTTAAATCTCAACAGTATGCTTCCCTTTTTATTTTGTATTTTCTGCTTATTTGTAATTCGTACATGTTTTATAACAGAAATTTGAATTATAAGTATTTGTTATTGTTCTATCATGTCCTCACTTGCATCATTCATTATTTCCATGAACATAGGCTTTGTAAATTTAAGCAATTGAGTGATCGGCCTGCAAACTTATCTTATAAGATCTATCTTCTGCATCAGTAACGATCATAGTGAAGTATCATTTAAACAGGAATATAAAAATATGAAATCATAACTTTCTTTCCATTGATGCATAATTTCATAGGAGACTTATGATATTCTTATTAATAGTTTCAAATATCATGGTATCAGTCTGTACTGTAATATCAATTTAACACTATACAGATCAGGGCCAACATGTTAGTCAAATTTGTATTTTTTCTTTGTTCGAATACTGGTTATTTTAGACTTGGACTTATTTGATTCAGTATTAGTTTATTGTTTTAATTCCTATATCTGTTTAGCATCTAGCAAACAATCACATTCAATATTTTTACCAAATTGAGATTCATATTTTCAGTGTTAATATATGGTAATTGGAACATATATTTGAAATATGGGCTCTATGGTTCCGCTTGTGACACAATTTCTAGAATAACTATTATTTAGCTACATTTTTATGTGACTGAGACCTATCGTATGCATATCTAGTAGACTGATGCATCTTTGCTGTGTATTGAGTCTTTGTTGACCTGACTTTCAAAATGCAGATCCGAAGTTTGCTGGAGAATTTGGTTTTTCTGCTTTATTATTGATTGCTGTCGTTAATCAGCTTATGTTACTTCCTATGGCTGTAGCTCTTAATCAAATTTACTTCTTGCAGCAAAGGAAAATCTGTGTCTTTATGGATTTCCTGACGAACACTGGGAGGTTAATTTACCTGCAGATGAAGTTCCTCCAGAGATTCCAGAGCCTGTATTGGGTATTAACTTTGCAAGAGATGGAACGAACAAGAAGGACTGGTTATCTTTGGTTGCTATACACAGTGACGCATGGTTAAATGCCTTAGCATCTTATTTCGGTGGGAGGTTTCAGTTTGATAGAACACAAAGGTGAGCAAATACCACTTGACTTTCATCTACTAGTCTGATTTCTCTTTTGTTGTTATTATTGTCTATTCATTAATCTCTAATGAAGCATTTCCAAGTCTTTTATTTTTAGATACCTTTTAAGCATAGCTCCATGGGCCTGAGAATTCATTATTCTTTTCATTGTGAATTATGGGAAATATTGTACTTTACGTGATATCTCATTCAGACTGTCTGGCATTTTTGTTGTTTAATCACCATACTGCAAAACATGGACTGTGTAAAAAGAACTTACTGTCAGAATGAGTTTGTCCGTAGATATAACAAACCACTTGGAGATCTCTAAAATAGTCTTCCAGGAATTTAGGTTACTAACATTTCATCTTATCAAGCTATTTTCTTCCCATTCTAAAAGAATTAGAATGCAACTATAACACTTTGAAGAAGACGTTTGCTGTCAACTACTGAAAAAATTACAAAAGTAACACTGTATTTTTGGCATTAGTAAATACTTGAATGAAAATTTTGAGATACATCTTTCAAAAAGAGGATTTTGCATACATGTCTGTAGAACGAGTACCCATGTTTATTTTTTGATAATAGAATAATAGAAAGAGAAAGGGGAATGATAATGCTCGAAGATAATAGGAAAATTAGGGATAACTATCGAACTCGCTCTCAAGATGAAGACATTACACCTCTGCACATCTCGGCTGATGGAATCATTCCATCGGAAAAAACTACTGTGGTCTTGCGTCACTTGCACATAATATGAGAATATAACTCGATTCATTTCTCTAGTGATACATTACAGTGTTCTAGCCTTTTTATAGACTCAAGTATAAGAGAAAACAAGAAAAATATAAAAATCATAATTAAATCACATCAAATACATATTAGGAAAGATAATATTCTTAAATTGATTTGAAGAATAATGACTTTAATTTTTGTATAGATAAATCTCTAACATCTTTGGTCAAGATTTGTATTCTTTAATCAACATTTTTTATTTTTTTATATTTGGTGTTTTTTTTGTCTCGAGTAGATGTCGTCATGTAGCAACTTATGGCATATGCAGAATATCCCTAAACTAATAAAATTTATTCAAATAAAATATAAATTAAATTGCTCCTACATCATATGCTTTCGTTGCATAGGAACTTGTCCGATTGGGCATGATGATGGAACACTCCTAGGATAAAATCTTACTCCTCCACACATCTTTCACATGGATGATGAAATCATTTAATCATAAAAACAACTGCAAGTGTAAATATCAATTCATTCATCCATTTTTTTGATGATACATTATAATTTTCTAGCCTCTTTTTATAGATCAAAGTAAAAGAGGAAAATATATAAAAGTAAGAAAAATTATAATTGCATCAAATCAAATACATGAATTGTTACTCCCTCCAAAGAAGATAATTTTCTTGAATTGATTTGAAGAATAATCTTTCTCTTTTGTGATATTTACTTCTTTACTTATAGAGATGAATCTTTAATCAAGATTTCTAAACTTCAATCAATATTTCTTTCATTTTTTGTATTTATTTCTTTTTCTTTCCATTTGGTAGATGCTGTTGTGTGGCAACTTATGATGTATGCAAAATATCCTTAAACTAATCAAATTTATTCAATCAAAATATAAACTAAATTACTCTTGAATCATGTCCCTTCATGCTATTGTGGACTTGGCATTGTCAAACTTATCTATGTAGCATTCCTTCATGGCAGACTAGTTAGACTACTTGAATGATCACAACAGCAGAGTCCTTGGTGGCTCACAAATGACATAATTTGGTAGATCAAAAAAAGTACACAAAACCAAGGTCGATCGTCTTGTGCAGACTGACGATGCTAGTCTTGGCTCGAATTGGTACATTTTGGTTTTCAAAAAATGGGCCAGAAAATGGATGAAAAATCAAAATTCCTTTTTAAACCCTTTTTATCCTAATTTAATATAATTTTAATTTAATTTTAATTTTAATAAGAATAAAATGAAAATGAGTCATAAATGGTCAGTAATTATATATTTTTACCTTAATTACCCCAAATTGACCCAAAAAATTAACATGATGGACTTAATTGAGCCTAGATTTTAGAGAGAGACACTAATCACCCTAGTTAGACCTAACTATCTCAAATTAGCCCTAAGGAAAGATAATGACCCTAGTTATACCAAACTAGGTGTGTTTAGGCAAAATTATCTCTAATTTGTGCTAAAAATATGATAATGGACCTATTTAAGCCTAATATTAAGAGAAATACAATAATCAACTATAGTTATTCATAATAAGACACTAATAAAGGTTTTAAATCATGTACCGTACGGGTGTACCGAGCTTTGCTCGATATGGTACAGTACCAGCATACCATATCGTATACGTTAAAATCGACCTGTACAGGTACCGATTCTTTCATTAAAGCTTGAGCTTGGTCAATCTTGCAAACCAAATAACATGATTTGGTTCATCATCTAAACTTGGATCGGCTCTCGCTTGGTCATTGCACTGGTTCCACTCGTGAACTGGTTCGTCTCACATGTGAGTACGAACTACCACATGCAGGAACTAAGGTTGGCGACGGCTATATTTCATCTCAAATCTGCCCTCCTCCCCATGTCAACGCTGCTCCCTTGGTTGCATATGTTGCCTCCTGTACGCCTCGTAGATGCAAAACCACTCTTCGATTCTTCTTGGTTTAGTGATTTATTGTGGTTTGTGGTATCTTCATGTGGTTAGCATTGTTCCTTTTGCCTCAACATTTCTGTTTATTGGCTCGTGGAAAGATTTCATGCTATGATTTGATTACTTTGACGTTTTGTAGCTGTTCCTATTGTTCTTTTCGAAGTGGAAATTCTAAAAGTTGTATCTTTTGATTGAGTTGTGTTGCAATTTTCGTTCTTTTTACCCTGTTGGCATTGCTCCCCCTTGGTCACATATGTTGCCTTTGGTACAGGTCGGTAACGATCGAAATCGATTGGTACCGCCCAGTACAAGCCGGTAACGGTCGAAATTGATCGATACTGCCCAGTATAGGTGGGTAACGGTTGAAATTTTGACCGTTACCACTCGATACGAGGCCAAAAACTTGATACAACCCAGTAGCGGGTGGTTCGCATGCCGGCCTGCTGGCGGATTGGTACGTACTGCCCGTATTGGGCGGTATGGTACAAAATTAAAAACATTAGTAATAAGGATGTAATTATATCAAAAGATAACTAAAATGTTGGAAAAAAATAAATACCTTTAATTTAATTGAAGAGATCTTCCACCAAATGATGCATTTGAATCCCTCTAATTGAAGCTTTTGAAGTTTTTGACGAGCTCGAATCACTGATTAAGATTTTTAATTGAGAAAGAGAGTGAGAGAGAGTGAGCAATTAGAATGTTTTATCGAGAAAGAGAGTGAGAAAGAGTGTGAGTGACTGAGGGGAAGGAAGGGCTTATAAAAGAAGGGTACCAGCCTAAAAAGATTTACCGTTTGACCACAATTGAATTGACACTTGAACTAGTACCGTTATAGGTCGGTGATGATCGAGTATTGGCCTTACCAGATGATTAAGAATACCCTTGAACTAGTATGTACTGAGCAGTATACCCTCCTCTTCCTGCATACTAAAATGAGCTGGTCCGCATACCAGTCGTCGGGCGGATCAGTATCGTGTGTACCATCCGTTTCATACTATATTGTATCCAGTGATACAACAGTCATTGCACAAAACTGCACTAAAAATAAAGGAACTTTATTAACAAATGAAAATTTTGCAACCTGATAAAGTATTGCAAGGATCTCGAGAGTAGAAAATGAAACAATTTCATTCATAAAATCCACACATTCTAACTTGTTGGCTTGATCATCAACCCATACTGCTTAGGTACATTTGAGAGGAGTATCCCTCATGTACTCTTTGGGGTTTTCCAAAGGCTAAGATGGCTAACAAATTATTACTCGTAATTATAGGTATGCCATCAGTCAAATCCTATCTTCTGACATGTGAAAACTCTCTCACAGCGCGGTAAAACTTTTTTATTACGACGCTACCCGGTAAACACTATACAGAACTGTTTATAAAATTATCAACCATTAGTGACTATGACAAACAAAAGCCATTATATTTGACAGCCCAATAGTACATAACATCCTTCCCACTTGATTGCCTTTTGTCATCATCATTGAAGCCTTACTATGTGCTGCAACTTGTTCTTCTTTCGGTTTAACTCATATATCAAGTACTCCAATTCTGTAACTCTGCTGGTAAGGATTGAAATTTGATCTGCCGAAATTGATTTAACTCATTGTTCAGCATAAGTTGTGAGATTTGGCTGAATTGGTATCCTTTAGTAAGGATTTTATGGATCAGCATGATAGGGTAGAGACAACTTTTATGAAACACTGGATAGATCTTTAGGCACATTAGGAGTTGCACTCTTATCCTTTCACATGCAGCTTGAGTGATGTTGGGTTGGAGTCTCATCAGCGCAAAGTCATCTATCTCAAAGTTTTTGAGGCCACTCTAAATCAATTTAGTTCTTTATCTTCTTAGTCACTTTCTCCAAGTATGCCTGGAGAAGAAAAGTGTCAGTTTTGAGAGAAGTGTAATCTATAGGGATTCAGTTGATCAGTTTTGAGAGAACAAGGAGGTCTTGCTTTCTTTGCAACTTGAGATCTTTCTTCCTTGTACTATTTGGTTCTAGTTGAGAAAACAAGATCTTTCTTTGCAACTTGAGATCTTTCTCAAGTGTTGCTTCTAAATAATGTTGGATAATAGATAATTTCTGAACTTCATGTAGCTGTATTTGAATTGTTCTGTATCTTTTTATACTGCATTAATTTGTAATTTGTTGTAAAAAACATAATATCGTCACACAAAGAAGGCTAGACATATTTATTTCTGAAATTAGCTATGTCTTCGTGATAATCTGCTTTTTTTATTTTGTTAATAGATTGACTTCACTACAACTGTTTCTGCTATAGTTTCTTGATAACTTGTTATGTCTCTATATTATACTCGTTCTAAGCGATGTAGTTCATGTTGATGGTGTTTTTATTCTTTATTCATATGAAAATCAAGTACTTTCTGATTCTTGTATAATTTAGTTCAAAATTTTTCTTCCGAAAACCTATGAAGCACCGACATGTGGATTTTGGGGACATACCTGTGTCGGAGACGGATATGTCGCCAACACAGCTGGACATGTGTCCTCAGGCCCTCGGCGACCTCGCTGTCATCCGACAGACCCTTCTTCCTCACCTTCTGCTGCTGTTTCGCAAGGTATCAGGCTGACCCGTCGTTTGCAGTTCGCCCACTTCTATTGTACTGAACCCTATGTGGTCCTCTCTTTCTGCTTCCCAGGACCCGGATTTCTGGTTTCTGGTTCGATCTTTGGGTTTGGTCTCAGATTTCCGACCCTTCTCCTTTTCGAGTCTTGATTTGTCAGGGTTTTTTCTCAAGTGCTCTTGGTCATCCTGGAATTTGAAGCACGAAAGTAACACCACCTGGTTTGAGACTGGGTGTCACTTGCTTTGGCTTTCCCTGTGTGAATTCATGTGCATGGAAGAACGAAGATAGTCTCGATTTCTTTCATAAGAAAAAGTCTTCCAGTTCAACCGTCAAAAATCATAGGTATGGCTCACAGAGGATGGTTCTAGGTTTGAAAAGCAAGTTGATTAGGGTCTGTTCCTCTCATAAGTAAGAAGTTAGGACACACACAGATTCTTTGCTTTCATGATTGTGGTTTAACTATTGTCCAAGCTTTCTGCTTTCTGCAGATTCTTTGATTGTGGTTTAACTATTGCCAAGCTCTTCGCTTTCTGCAGATTCTTAACTAAAACAAGATTCTGGTTTATTTTTCACACACAGATGAATTCCTAAAAGTTTTGTGGATTCTGTTCCACACTAGTGTCTTTGTATATTGGTACCAATGTTATCTGACTTCTTATTAACATACTAAGCTACCTAAAGAACTGTAGTCTTATTCAGAGTTCCACTACAATTTAAAAAATTCTTCAGATTTTATGAGCATATATTTCGAGTTTGTGTTTTTTGGTTATCAAGAAACCACATACCATGTTCTTTTCTTGATGTTATATGTTACATATGTTATAGATCATTTCCTTGTCCAATTTTCCTGAGCTCATATTATATGATTTGGTTTCTGAACCTTTCTGTCATGTTCTTTTATTATTTTGTTTTTGTGTTCTGGAAATGTAAGTCTTGAACTTTAGATTTACAAAATCCAGTTTGGTTCATAATGAGGATTACTACTTGTTATTACTATAAAACTCATGTTAATCCTAATTTTTTTAAAAATGGTGTGTCGTCATATCCGTGTCGTATTGTGTCATGTCTCATGTTCGAGTCTATGCTTTTTAGTCGAAAACTATGGGCACATTAATAATGGTTTTTAATCAACATATTAGTTATTTTTAGACCCTTACTCTCTTTGATCTATTGTGATAGTTTTCTCTCCTCTCTCTTCTCACCATTTAATTTCAACAGTACAATTGTCTTGATTTTATAATCAAGTGAACCTTTCTCTTAGTTATATGTGGTTTTCAGCTACAAAAGAAACTTGATTGATTTTCTGCATTGCAGGAAACACCTCTCAGTTATGATAGCTGATCTTCCTACCTTATGTGAAGTAGTAAGTGAAATGAATCTACAGAGGGTCTCTGGTTCTAAACACAGCAGTAATAAATCGAAGTCAAATTCCAAATTGGTAAGTGGAATCTTAGATGCTTTCTACTTGAAAAGTACCATTTTACTTGTTCAGTTGTGATTCAAATAGGAAATTACGCTGTCATACAGAAATGGCAGGGGATGCATGATATCTTTTACTGCTTTTTATTCAAGATAATGACCTGCATTTGCCATTGAATTTAACTTAATAGTTATAGAATATAATGGGGCTTTTTATTTACTTTTCAGAAATTAGCAACTATTTTTGGCAAGATTCACTGTATCGATCCATACTGGCATACCAACCATGTATCGGTATGGTACATATCGAGGCGTACCGACAGTATGCCAAAAATCATCGAAAATGGCTCCAAAAATATCTAAAAAATAAAAAAAGTTAGATTATGATTTTAAAGTTAAAAATAAATATAAATTTAATATAATTTTAACAAAAATAATCTAAATTAGGAAAGAATAGTGACATATCTTTTTTCGAACTTTGAGCAATAGCTTTTTTGTACGTTCTGGACTATCCTTCCGTTAATATTGAATTATATACAAAGAAATGATTTCGTCGACCGACTTGATACTTTCCAACTATATAGTTGATGCTACTGTCTTTCTCTTTGCCGTTTCCTTTGTACGTTGGGCGGACAACTATGATAGTTAGGTGTTTCTAGTTACTCGAGTAGTTTGACTTGATGTTTTTCATCTCCTTCCACTACGTTCTAATCGAGGGGAATCTTCCTCTTGTTGGAGATGTGCTTCCTCTTCTTCTATTGCCTTGGTAATAAAACATAAAGGACATCGAGGATACCCCACCTCATCAAGTAGAGGATCTTCTTGGTTCTCCGTTACTTCGACTCGCTCTAACATTGACTTTAAATCTTCGTTGTAGAATTAGAGGCCGATGGGATCAATCTCTGTTTGCTTTGGCTCCTTGTCTAACTCGGCACATCGTAACCTTAGCCACATATTATAATGGACATATACCAGTATCTCCAACCGTTTATACGATAGTCTGTTACGGACCTTCGTGTGAATCAATGCGAACGTTGACCAATTACGATTGCAACCACTAGATGTCGTCATTTGCGAAAGTATACGGATGATAACCTTCCTTAAATTTGGTGTGTCCCCTCCAAATTATAGCCACCAATCGATTGTAAAAGGATATAAATAGGGCTTTATTAGTATAACAAATAGTTAATATCAAATATAGTTTATAATCAACATGTGTGTAACTTTTCGTCACTAGGATCTATATTGTATTGACACGATATAGCTACAACGTCGGAGAATGAATCAATTATTTCCTGAAATAATTAGCCCTTTATAATAGCATCGGTAGTGTTTGACAAAAGTCGATATATTATATTTGTTAGTGTCGATAATAAATTTGATCTCATTCCAAGACTATATCGAAATTTGATTGGATTTAGATAATACGCTGCAAGACAAATAATTTTGTTAGTAAGAATGTTTAAATATTAAAAAATTATAATTTTTTTTACATTGAATATGAATTTACTTACATTATGGATATCTTGGTCCATATAAACTTCAGTCCTATGATCGATGATTTGTAAGTATTGCTCAAGTTTAAAATCATCTTTGAATGCTTTCTTGACCTCCTCTTTTATTGTAGTTAGTATATATCTAAGATAAGGCACTTAGAGATCCTTATCCATATAGACTTTACGGAAGATAACGTAAGGTGGTTTTACTCTTGTTATGATTTCTTTCATGGTATCCTAAAACCTAGAAGAAAGAATAGTCTTTTTTATTTTTTTTCCATCGGTCGATCTCGAATATCTGGAATTAAACCATTCCTTTGAGGTGACCATTACCTTGAAGCCTTGCCTCTTTTACTGTATTGACTTTAAGACAATAAAATTTGTAGCAAACTGAGTGACTTTAAGTTTGAGTATCTCACTATATATATACTTTTGCATTAAAGTGTAGACTCAATGATGATTATATATAAACTTTGTGATCGGCTATGCTTGAGTTACATACTTGCTGACTGATGGTAGCTCATCAATATCCTTCAGCATTAAATCCATGCAATAAGTTGCACATAGAGTTCAAAACAATGTTTTCCTTGTTTCCATCAATTGTAAACCACCATTCTTGAAATTGGCCCCATTGTCGGTGACTATCTGGACAATGTACTATGGTCTGATTTCCTCTACTGCAGTGTCCATTAGGTTTTTAATATATTTTGCATCTTGAATCGTGTTGGAAGCATTAACTGACTTATGAAAAACCATTCGTTTGTTGCAATAAATAAGAAAATTGATGATACTCATTCTTGTTGGCCCTGTCCAACTATCACACATTAGTGTCATCTCATATTCATCCCATTGCCTCTTGAAGGATTTGATCTAATCCTTCAGTTCTGTCACCTTATCTAAATATATGTTGTGGTTCTCCTTTGGTGTTGGAGGTTGGATCCTTGTGCTAAACTTTTGAATAGAAGAGATCATGCTCTGACCTTGGGTTGTGTTTTTTGGAATCATGTGGAAGTTGAACCGTTTTACAATTGCCTTTCCAATATCCCATTTCTTTTCTTTTTAATATGCATCGTTGGTCCGTGTCTGCTTCATTGTTTGTGGAGGATAGGCTTGCAGATCAATATCAATAATATCTGGTGTTGACCTCCTACCAAGTCCTCTCACAAAACCACGAATTCCACCCTGCCTCATTCTCCCAATTTGACTTAATTGAGGGGCAGTTGGTTGTCTTATGTCGACCAACCTTTGGATTCCTTGTGACACAGGCCCATTGCCACTGCCACGCTCTCATTGTGGGTCAAGGTAATGATGCCTCATTGCTTCCTCATACATGTGTAGGTGCTCCAATGATACACGAATACCAACTCTAAGATTCGGGTCGATTTCATCGTCGTGACCCTCATATTCCTCATAAACCGGCTCCTACGTAGCCCTATAGTGTTCTTCCTTAGCTTTTGCCTTCTTTTTCATTGTATCTTCCCTTGCTTGTTGTAACTTGTCTTGAAAGGATTTACGGACCTCCGTCGGAACCTTATTGCATTTTGTAATATTGGATACTCGTCGACCAAATACATCTTCACCCAGGTAATTTCTCCACCCTTGTCGATGTAGTTACAATAAATGCATTGTTAATGATGATGGTTCTTGTCTATCTTTTGGTATCATGTTCCTATCAAAATTGATTCAAATAAGCAAGATGTGATTAGCCCTAATTTAAAATAACAAGATGCGATTATACGGAATGAACCGTTGTCACTATAAATATGTCAATCAACATATTCGACATTAAATATGTAGAATTGACTCAATATCATTAAAATTTTCATTAAATACACTAATCATAATAATAAAAAAACTTAATTAAACCCTAATTAGCTCTAATTTACCACTATAAGTATGTTAAACACCCAAAGAAGCATTAAATACGTATATTTGATCCAATATATGTTAAATTATGATTAAATTATTATTAAATATATTAATCACATAATTAACATAGTTATCCCTTAATTATTCCTCTTTCATCATTATAAGCATGTCAAACACTCTAATAGTTATTAAAGACATTTAATTGATCCAATGGGTCAAATTTCAAAATCATCATAATTAAATACACTAATTACAGTATTAACATAGTTAATTAATCCTTAATTAGTCCTCTTGCACCATGTCAAACACCCTAATAGGTATTAAAGATATTAAATTGATCAATTTTGATTAAATTATCATTAAAATCACTAATCACAACATTAAAAATCTTAATTAAAACTTAATTACACTTATTATACTATCATAAACATATAAATCATCTTAATATACATGAAAAACAAAGATTTAACCCATTAAGTGTCTAATTTTTAAAAAATAGCATTAAACATATTAATCATAACATTAATGACCTTAATTACTTCTTAATTAATACTATTCTACCATCAAAAATATCAAACTACATATTAGACATTAGGTTATTAACCACATAAAATAGCCTTACTCATTTCAAAAACCAATAAAAATCTAGAAAGAGAACATACACCTCTTGATTAGAGTGTTCTTCCTCTTAATTCTCCCAAATTAGTCTTTCAAATTTGATTCAATCCACAAATAATCACTTTGTTGAGTTTAGAAGAGTGAAAATATAAGAATAAGAGAGAGATATGAGTGAGAAAGGTTTGAGAGAGTGAAATGAGTTAAAAGGGTGGAAAAGGGTTTAAAAACCCTTTGCAATGGTTCAAACGATCAATTTGATCGTTTGAAATAGGGCAATCTCAGCCCTCGATCGATAATGGTTGAAATTTGATCGTTATTGACTTGTACCGGTTGGTAATGATCAGATTTCGACTGTTACCGACTGATGTAGACCCCGTATCGGGTGATATGGGATCATGTAATAGTACCACCTGGTATAGAGCGATATGTATATGGGTCCCTTATCGGTCAGTATGTTTCGGTACAGCAAATCATGATTTCAAGTAACTGTGTTTGATAGCTTCCATCAAATTTTAGCAATAATTTCAGGCAACTGTGCTTGATTACTTCCATCTAATTTTAGTGTTGCAAATTTGTAGAATTGCTCTTATTTTTGCAGCAAAGTAGAACGGAAAGCAATATTTAGTATCAGTTGAGTAAAGAAAAAAGAAGTTTACATGACGTAGGAGACATTAGGTTTTTTTTTGTCCAACACCTGCATGGATTTGTTATTCAAAAAAACAAAAAGAAAGAGAATTGATCTGCTGATAGGAAAGACACCACCTCTTGTTTAAGCTTGTTATTATTGGTTTCCTGTATGCTTTCTTTTCTATCATTCCTTAAACCCCTAAAAAATGACTTTTTATTGAATCTGTCTCATTGTGGTTCAATCTTTCTTGCCCACAACTGTTTCATTACATTAAGCAGCAGCAACATCTCCTGTGCTCCTGAAATAAAATTGGTGCTCGACAAAACCCTTTTTACTTGAATGGCAAGTCTCTTAATGCAAGCAAATATCATGTTTCTGTTAGGATTAGAGACATTTTGTTACTTGGATTGTGCTGTTTGATACCAAGAAGTGGACATTCGAATGTAAATTAGCAACACAGTCAGTTTTCCTGTTTAAGATCTCACAATATATTAAAATCAGCCATTTATTCATTGGGGGTGATGACAGAGGGCATCATCAGAGCATCAGGCTAAGAAATCAAAATCAAAGCATATCAAGGAAGAGGTTGAAGACCTAAATGGCAACGACAACAATGACGACGAGGACAAACATCTTTGTGCCTCATGTGGAGGGAATGACTCTGTAGGAGATTACTTCTGGATCTGCTGTGATGCTTGTGAGAAGTGGTACCATGGGAAGTGTGTGCGGGTCACCCCGGCAAAGGCCAAGCACATCAAGAACTACTGTTGTCCGAGGTGCAGCCACAGCAAGAGGCGCATCTCATAAGGCCCACATCTGCCAAAAGCTCTTTGAGGTATTTGTCTCTCTTGGTTGGCATCATGGTAACCATGCCAGAGTTAGTTTACGACTTACTGCAGGCACCAGGCGTTTCCCTTTTGCACGGGTTCACTCTGGAAACTTGTAGCACAGTTGGTTCTTAGTTTTAGTGAAGATGACTCTTAATTATAGGGCAAATTTTTCTTTGGTCGTGTACAGGTGTTCTAATTCATTATGTCCAACATGATTATATAGTTATTTGGAATCCTTTCCTCTTGAGATTTGAAATCTGTATGTTTGACATATCGGAGATATGGAAGGAAACAAGTATATTGAATCTAAAGGGAATATGGTGAGTTAGATTCGTGAATTAGACTTTGTTTCTACCATGTCGTAATATGTTATTTATTGAATTTTATAGCATTTTTGACGTAATTATAACATATATTAGCATATATAAATTTGAGATGAAACACATTATTGGATATGACTTTTAATTTTAATTTTTATAATCTTGACGGCATAGAATCAAATGCTAATAACATTATTCTTTCGGAACAATGAATGCAGTATAATTTCTTGACCGAAGTGAGAAAACAGGAATATGCAATCCAAGTGCGAAAAGCAACAAACCACTGTGAAAGAACAATTTGCAGTAGCCACACTATTTCTATTTCTAAGAATGCATGACATGCTGATTCCATCTTAGCACCACCGTCTTCTCCCCGTTCAAATATCCAATACTGAAGAAACCATGTAAGGAGATCACACCACTGCCATCCTCGGCGTCAACGTTATTGGTTGCTTGACATCGTTGGATGTACGGTGACCAGAAAAAAAAATTGTAGTCGAACGATGAATGTTATAGACAAAGGAAAACAAAACTTCCGTCTTATCGAATATGATGAAATTATTAACATCACTCAACATTATAAATATAAACTTTTATCCAAACTAAATAATATGTGATAATATTTAAGGAGTTAAAAATGTGAATAAGTAATTCAATTGCTGAAGTAAGAATTTTGACAGGGTCATCCAAAATTGAACGGTTCAAAATCATATCACTAGCAATAGAGACTTGTTACGTTTGATGATAATTTGAACCATCGGCATGCATTCGACATGGTAACACATTGTTAGATGTGTGAAAAATATCGCATTCGACAATGAAAATTTTAGATAATATATCAAATAAAATATAGCAGAATTCTTTTATTTTCGATATAATTTTGAGTATGAAGTAGATGGCCAAACTTGATCATATATTAATGACCAGCCCGATATATTATTAATGGAATTTATCAGCTTATTCTAGAAATTGGACGTTATTTAGATTTATCTCAAACTCTTTTTGTATCTATTGTTTGCCGTAATCTAGTTTCATTATCAAAACTTGATAAAATGAGATTTTTT